CCACAGCACTTGTTCTCTCGGGACAAGAGTAATTTCTCTCTCACTAAAATTATTGCTTAATTTGGAGGAACCAATAATACAAAATTTGCATGGTGAATATTAAGTTATCTTTTCACGTTTTTGTGGATTATGATCAAAATCTTGCCTCAAAAAGACAACCCGCAGTGGTAGGATATTTTCATGGTGGGAGTCTGGGAGCTGAGTGTTCACTCTTTCCAAGTTTGCCGTTAACACATTTTATTTCCTCATATTGCAAATATGTCCATCAGTTTACTCAAAGTTTAACTATCATTATACTCGACCTAAATTATTAAGGTTGTCTTTCGTTTTTAATTACATTGATGTTACCTTACAATTGATAGAAATTGAGGTTAATGGTTATGATATTAATGTAATAATTAGTTGTATTAATATGATAACCTACAATATTAATATAGTGATCCACAAATAAATAATAATAAATTAATAAGACGGGGGAGATTTGATTGATATAGTATGATATATATAATTAAGTCTAATATCTTCAACAACAACAAAAAAGAAAAGAAAAAGAATCTAAGTCTAAAACTTGTATAGTAAGTGGGTTGTAGAATTTGGGCAGAATGTTATCCATTTTGCAGAATTGGACTGATCCTCATAATATAGGCTAGACTTTCACGTAAGCTAGGCCTCATTAAAATGGTTTCTGCTAAGCCACACTGTGTTGTCGCCTTTTGTTTGTGGATAAGGAAAATGAAGGGTTATCGGCCTATGTAATGGCGGTTCAACTCAAAGCAGCTTAAGAGTTTCTTAGAGAAACGTATCTAGTTGATGCAGTGTTCCACAAAGATGAGATAATTGATGAATAAGGCGTGTGGGGTTGTCCTACATATCACTCAAATATCCATCATCCAAGTCTCCCATGTAGGGATGGACTAAGGCGATGACCCTTAAAAATTTATATCTCATAAAATTAGGATAGTTTTTATAATTTGATTGATAATTTTTTTTTAATTTTATAAATTTTATAAGTATATCCTCCAACATAAAATTGAGTCTATTTGTTGCGATGTATAGCCTATTTTGATACTTTCTTAGAGCTTTATTCTATCTACTAAAGCGGTGTTAACCCCACAATATAGAGTGATAATGCATCACATAGTTTAATTTATGCAAGCATCATCCCTCCTTCATTTGACGATGCCTGATTATTCGAGGTGGTTGGTTGACTGAATGCGTCTCTGGCAATGTAACGTAGATTTGTAGTTGGATGCTGAAATGTGGTTGTAGATTCACTTTTCTGCAGAATTTCCACTTTCAAGTCATTATTTCTTTTAATCTTAATCTTTGAAATCTATGGAGGGTAGGGATGGATCAAGGGAGATAGATGAGGGATCGCAAGGCCGGCCTAGGTCAGACAAGAAGTGCGTCTACCCAGGTCCATAAATTAAAAAAAATCTTAGTATAATGATTTTTATATTAATTTAACAAAATGTAAAATAAAATAATGTGGCCTACGAGTTTATTAAAATGTCAGTCGTCATTATTGAATTTTTATATTAACGTTAATAAACTGTTCAACTTCCCATAAAACTCTAATTAAATATTTCTTTTCTAAAATTTTAAAAAAAATCAATTGAATCTTTTTAATTTTGGTCTTTTTAAATTCCCACCATCAATTTACCAAACTTCTTTCCCGATTTTCCATATCAATGGAAAATTTTATTAACCCTAATTTTTTCTCTTCAAAACTCAATGGGAGGAAAAAATTAAATATAATTAGCATGCATTTTTATCTTTTTCATATTTCACAATTCATCTTAAAATTATTACTCTCACTTTTTAATTTCTCATATTTCTCACAAACTCAAAGTCACAATTGTTTATCATCAATAGTAGTGCTTGAATCATATTGAAGATTGTTCTTAAGATTCTAGGTAAGATCATGTTTTCAAATTCTTTCTTTTGATATTTATATATTTCTAAATTCTAGATAAAATCATTCTTTTATTTCCAAATGCTATATTATATATTGAGAAAAATATATTGGAAACCATTGATGTTAACGCTATCATCAATGATTTTACATTAAAAATGCTTGAAGACAATGTTTTTTTATAAGTGTTTGTATACTTAAATATATTTTTGATATTTTAATGAATTATTATTTATTTAATTTAACAAAAAGATATAATATAAATTTACATTAGCTATTTATTATTTATTTGAATTAGGGGTCCATTTTTTATTTTCACCTCAAGCCAAAAATAGTCAGAATTGACCTGGGCGGTTGTCTTTTCTAAAATTTCTAAATTTTTAAATATTTTAAATATTTTTTTATGTATTTTATTTAAAATTTGTTTTTATCTTTTAAAAATTTATCTCTCATAACTTGAAATCATGCGTTCATATGATGGAAGAGATGGATTCATACCCAAAATCATACCTCTTAATCAATTAACTGACAGATTCACTTTTCACTTATCCATGTGCAATTTTTACGTAGTCATCCAAAAAGATTAAAGCTTTGCTATGTTATGGCATGATGGGATTTTGATAACAAATGCTTTAGCAATAAGTTTAAAGACAGCATGGTTTGATATTACCTCTTAGAGACGATGATTTTTAATTTCAGATCAAAAATAAAAGAAAGGTTTTAAAATTTATAAAAGGTAACATCGTAAATTCCATTAGACATTTTTTTTAAGAAAGAGAGAATAATGACTGCAATAAGGAATATTAGAGTGACTCTTTAGCCATCCGATTTCACAACGAATCATTAGTGGTGGAGTAGACGAGGTGAACAACGGTGAGAATGACATCACGGGTTTGAATGTGAGAGTATGTCACATCTTAAAGAAATGAAAGGCATTAATCTCATATAGAAAAAAAGTTATAAATAATAACATTGTACATTGAATCAGACATATCATTTGAAAAGATGATAAAAAAGTAAAACAATGGCACATGCACATAATAAACAAGAGATGATAATATTTTTTAATCTGCATCTGATTCATCCATGGCATCATTTCTACACGCGCAAAGAGAGAGGTGCACATGGAAACAAGTGGAAGTTCAATGGTGAATGTGAATGAGCCGTAGAAAACAAAAGGGAAAAGGGCAAGTTAAGCTATTGAGTGTGATAAAGATTAAAGAAGTGAAATCATGTATGAGCGGGAACAGGTTGCTTGAGTAGGGGACTTGGTTGTGAAAAGGAAGGGAAAATGCTTGGCATTTGCAATCTTTTTCTCTTTTTCTTATCAAATGGGGTCCCTTTCTCTTTTAGTAATATGTCTTACATGGAAATGGGTGAGCAATCATCTTTTGTTGAAATGACCTTTTTGCATTAATCAGTCAGTTTTGTTTGAATAATTATGCAAGAAAACATGGTGAATTCTTTTTACTATACGACCAATGTCCTATGTTGTACAGATACCACAATTTAATATTGTTTCAAGTACTTGATATGCCTTTCGAGATAGATATATAGAATGGGTATTGTTTGGTTACATAGCGAGGATGTTCTATGTTGCAGAGTACAATTAGAATTAATTGAGTACGTTAGAAAAAATTTCGATAACTCATTCGACTGTGTTTGCTCTTTCATGTGTACCTGGAGAATTTTTTTAGAATTAACTTGAAAAAATAATAATAAAAAGATGATTTTTAATAAAAAAAAATTAAAATTGATTTTGAAGTTTGAAATATCAATTGGGAAAAGATGAGATTTGGATATTTTTAGGTTGAGATTTTTCTTACGTATGAATCGCTTTTTAATTATCTTCCCAACATATCTCGAAACATTTTACTCGAACATCTAAAACTTAAGATACGCTGATTGTAGCGAAAATAGTGCGATGGATTTTGATACAATTTTGGATAGGTATATAGATAGGCTTTCACATCATTCGGGGACATTTTGACTATCCTGTTGACAAAGAGTCTCACTCGATGCATTTTATGTAAGGGAAAACGCACACCCTCTTTTCTTTCTCTCTTTCTCCAGTGTCCCTTTTCATAATTTGTGCTGTAATTATTGCTTCATTTTTCTCTCCTTTTCTAGAATATATATTAATTGTATGAATTCTTGGCTTTATGGAAATACTTGTTTGAGAGCGCGGGAAAGAGAGTTGGACCCTTTAATTACGAAGGAAAACCAATTAGAGTTGTAGTTTTGAGAATCCTCCATTTTTACTGTTAACCACATGAAAATTTTTGCAGATATTAGAGCTTTTGGGGCACTTGCTCATTAGTGTTTTCTGACAAAAGTGATGGTTTCTATTGCTTCCTCTCACCAGCTTTATCGTGTATGTATGTATGTATGTATGCATGCATGCATGTATGTAGATGAGGAATAATTGTGGTCTACACGGGCCTTTGTAGCTCTTTTCCTTTTTGCATCAGACCATTCTTCTTTCTTGTGTTGAATCATGACATTGTCCGGTACTGAATAGCTGTAAGGTATCCCACAACCTCAGTTCTCTCACCTCTTTTTCCCTTAAATATTGAATTCCATTGCTATTGTATTATGTTTGCTTTGATCACATGCCTTTCTATATTCATTTACAAACCATTTTTTATACTATAAAATTGAAGCAATCTTTAGTTGTTTCAGCCTTAAAAACACTAGTCTCTAGCATCCTTTGCCTTTGCCTTTATCTTTATTTTTTTCCCATTCTTTGGTTTTTGTTGGAGATTATGTGAGATTTTTTCATGTTTCCCTTGATTACACCTAAATAGTTTATCTTAGGCTGAAATCTAGAAGGTTTTGCCATGTAATATTATAATTTAATGATAGTTGTAATCATCTCTCATGTGAAAATTTGCTGAAATGTAGTTTACTGGAAGTAATTATTATCTCTGAAATTTGCAGTTAATAACTATAATTATATTGGATCTGCTTGACAATTCTGATTACCTAAATATGTAAAAGTTCGTTAAAGTATACTATAAGAACAACTTAACTAAAAAAAAATTTAAGTCGAATACGGAATACTCACCTCCTAGGCCAATCTTTTGAGGTTTTCAGCTCTTCCAGACAGGAAGGCCCATTGCTTTTTATTTCTTTAGGGTTGTGCTCCTTCAGACAAGGTATAGTATTCATTAAGCTAGGCATCAAGATAATGTAACATCAAGGACATCAAAAGCAAAGTGTACTGCTTTATGGGATTATCATATAACTTTGTCTTTACATTTTCAAATCAAGGTATAAAGCTAGGCTGCTCTGCTCTCTACTTTCTTTAAAATAATTCATTGAGAAGTGCGGATGTCTTGTTTTTTCCAGGGCAGTTGAGTTATAGGATCGAAAGGGTCTCAAGATCACATTTGCTTCCAAGTTCCCAGGGCCAGAATCTTAACAGGTTAGTATATATCCCTTCATAGTGTAAGTTATTTACTTGCAGACACATATGATCATCTGAGAGTCATCGGTAAGTCCCGGTGGATGTCGTTTTCCCTGTTTTTTATCCTACGTCTATGATCACATAGTTTTTGTTTCTGTTTCAGGGATTTTGAACAATTGATGAATACGAGGTATAATTTGGCCACTTTATTTTTTAATTAAGCTCAAAGAAAGATTCGTTCAACTATGAGTGAGTTTGGTACTGAAAGATCAAGGCCATGGAACATATATACTAGTTCGGATCCGAGTCCATCTCAAGCAGTAGCAGCTGATAAGGGAACTCCTTGGAAAAGCTTTGGAACATCCATGAATGCAGTTTCTTTTGGATTTGTTGCTACAGCCATCTTGATATCGATGTTTCTCATAATGGCCATCTTAGAACACCTTTTCCGGCCTAATTCTGCTTTCTCTTCACCCGATCACATTACGAATGGTGCTTTACGCCCCGGAACGGTTCAGAAACTTGGGAATCAAGAAAGGGTAAGTTCTTTATCTCATCAAGATATCAAGTTATACCATATGCATCTCTGGTGTAATTGAACTGATGTTCGATGTATGTATGTGTGTATGAATGTTGTGATGGCAGGTATCAGCATCATACGCATCTGATTTCTCAGTAGTGATGCCGGGAGAGCGGTATCCGACCCACATTGCGCAACATGCCCCTCTCCCATGCCCAAGGGAAGGAATCTATTGGCCACCACATGAACATTGTTTTGTGTCTCCCCAAGTGTAAAAGCAGAACCAAGCAAAGCATCATCAAGGATGTATGTATATTTTATCAACACTTGCTCACTTTCTATATATATACTCTCGTTATCCAATGAAAATGTTGTATCTTGCAGCTGCTTTGCGAGAGAAAACTAATACTTTGCAGAGGATGTAGGAACAGATCTATTCTTGATAATAAACATGTCGGATGAACAATTTGAAAGAGCAGAATCCCTCTTATAAATTCAGGGTTGGAATTGATAGTGGAATTGCAGAGGGGGAGTTTTCATAGTCTTGGGCCTTAACAACATTACCGCTACTACTTATATTCCTCTGACCAAAAATTATAAGAGGTTAAATGCTCAAGTAAAGGCATAATTCATGAGAGTTGCTCAAGAAAGGGTTTTAATCTTTTTAAACGTGTGTGTCTAACGTTTTAAACATATTCTTGAAACAATTGTTATTATTAAAAGAGTTAATTGTATCATATCTCCCCAAGCTATAACTCTCTTTTCAAATCGATCCTTAAACTTTTGAATATTCTAATTTCATCCCCAAACTTGACTCTCATTCTAAATTAATCCTTAAAATTTTGAACATTTTAATTTCATCCCTAAACTATGACCCTCTTTCTAAATGAGCCCCTAAATATTTGAATATTCCAATTTCATCCCTAAATTCATTCAAATATGTAATAGTTTCAACCATTTGTTTAACCTACATTTTGTTTTTTCAAACATATAATAACATAAATTGGCCTAACGATTTTACTAAAAAGTGATGTGATTAGTATATATGTATAGCTTGGGATGAAATTGGAATATTCAAAAAGTTTGGGGACCAATTTAGAATGAATTTCGTAGTGTAGGGATGAAACTAAAATGCTCAAAAGTTTGAAGACTAATTTAAAATAATAATCATAGTTTAGGGATAAAATTGGAACATTCAAAAAGTTTAGAGACCGATTTAAAATAAGGGTCATACTTTGAAGACATACGATGTAATTAACTCTTATTAAAATACTGTGAAACAGAATAAATATATATATATTTTCGTTAGGAAAATGAAGATTTATTAAATAAAGAAAAATAAAATTATTGGTGATCAAATCGTATTAATTCGAAGTTTAAGCTTTTCCTTGATACATTTGTATCAAAGTTTTTGTAAGCTTGATTAAATATTAATTCCATGACACCGTTGTTATTATAAAATTTTATAAAATTTCTCTGAGTTGAATTCTCTTGATAACCTTCAATTTAGAGATTTGTGGATCATATGTAGTGTATTTTAACCATTATATAAAACAAAATGTTAATAAAACTAAAATTAAGTTCTGAAAATGATAAAATTAAAATACATAACACATGAAAATTATTTATATTTCTTTACAAACAGCTAATTAACTTCTTTGGTTCGTGGTAAAGGAATATCATTATTAGGACTTAAGTTTGAGTATCATAAATATCAGGGGTGTGAGCTTCAATGACAAAAAATTGAGAACAACAACAACAAAACCCTGGCTAAATTTAAAAAGAGGAAACATGAAGAAAATGATACACAGAAGTCAGCGATAGCAAGCTACGAGAAGGAATAAAGTCAAATGGGTTAAAACCTAAACTAAGGCAACAGTACTCCGCTACCCTAGTTCTAAGCCTTCATAAATTCCAATGACAGAAACGTATAAAAAGTAAAAGTCATGAAAATTACTACAAAGGCATTAAAAAGAAGACAAATAGTTATCTTTAAACTGATACCGTCTTGTACTTACTCCAGATTAATAAAAAAAAATTCTTTTAAAGCATCCCAAAAAAAAATCATTTGAACATTATCATTACAAATAGTACAGCTTAAGGTTGAAAATTTATCTGACCTCACCACAGGATATGCCTAAACTCCTGGCCTTGACCATCACAAAAGTCTGAGTTCTCTAAACAACACAACCCAGTGAGATACCATTTCAGCCTGCAAATCAAGAGCAGCAAATTCGGTACCAAGAATCAACAACTAAACGAATAAACACAAAACCGAAGACGGAATGTAAAACCAGATAACAACAAATCATTGCACAATGTATCTATTTAGAAAATCAACATGAATTAAATGATTGTCAAGCACGAAAAAACAAAAGAAGTGGTCGACAGTCCACCGCAACGATGGAACTAAGTCCCACTGTCTCCAGTCACCACTGTGTTGCATGTATAAGTACATGAAGGGGAACCAATTTTCCAAGCTGCATAAAGATATAGACTTGAGAGTCAAACTTTAGATTTCACAGAGGTACCCAAAATGGTGAAGCCGAAACGCCTAGATCGATGAAAATGGTTACAATGTTTTTAATCTACATTCAACCATAACAATTGTGGATGATGAAAATTTAATTCCTCCTTGAATGTTGGTAATCTATGACTAGAAAATTTATGTACACACCTCAAATAGGATGCTCAGTTCTCACTCTAAAGCTAGTCCCGCAGGCCAAGCTCAAGCTCAAGCTCATCATCTTCTTCAAACAGCTGTAGAAGGCGGGCATATTGTTCGTCTCGTTTCTTTTTCTGCCACAACTTGAAAAGGAAAAAGGAAAACAACCCGACTGCAACAAGCCCAAGCAATATGAGGACTACCTTGGCCCCAGTATTATTAACCATATCAGATTTCGTCTTTGAGCTGTTTTTTGAATCTGTAGAGTCGTCACAAAAACCTGAAAATAGAACAAATTGATCAATACTTTCAATAATTAGGTAAGCAGCAATTAGAGCAATCTCAAATTTGAAGTCCATTAGGGCAACAGAATCAGTAGTATGCCAATCAAATCAAGCAGAAAGCTAATATACAAAGCAAGTAACCCAAATCTAAGGAATAATGAACCATCTTCCCATATCTGCAACAAAAATACAATGATTTAGATCAGCCATGCATGATATCATAGTTTCATATGAATTTCATTTAATCAATCATCGTGATTTCAAAGATTCAATGGAAATCGGTACACCTAAATTGAATTTGAAGCCCAACTTGATTTGTTCATACTATAAACATACTAAATGGCTACTTAAACCGCTAACTAGCAGATCTATTACAAGTTTGAGATTCAAAAATGCAAACTGGAACAACAGATTCCACATCCCTCCCAAAAAAAAAGAATAAAAAGGGAAAAATGATGTACTTTCACGTTCATTGGATGTTAATTTTCTCAGCAGCCAAACAGAGAATATTAAGTAATAATCAAGACAGAAAAATTTGTTAGTGCTCATTAAGTAATCAAACAAAAGTAAAGGTGGGATTTGCATGACACCGGTACATAAATTGTCTGATCTCGACGGAAAAAAAATGAAATGCATAAATTAGAAAGAAAAAGTAAACTTGAATTCCAGGCAACCAATTATTCGAATTCGGAGCAGAACAATTAGATAAATACAATTCAAAGAACATAAGATTCCGTTAGAAAACACAACAAATTATCGAGGATTCTGATATAGGAAGCACACCTGAAATGAAGTGTAGAGAAACGGAAGCAAAGAACAGTAGGAAACGGAGCGATCTACTTGTTGAAATTTCAGTCATCTTTCTCTTTTTTCTTTGACAGCGAAAGAGGAATCGGTCTTTCCTAGCTTCCAATGCGAGTTTTTCTATTTCCTTCTATTTTTCAAAAATGTATCGCGAATATGCTGTTTCCGTAATGCGGCCCTAGTTTTTGTTCCGACAGACATTAGTATTTAGTAAAATTCCCTTTTGTTCCCATTAAAATTTAAAAAATACATTATAATCATTAACCTTATCAATTTGTAACATAATGATCCAAATTAATTTTGTTCTTTTATTTTGTTATAAGATAATCTTAAAATGAATAATATTAATTTGGGTGTTTGCACTTGATTTAAACTTTATAGTTTACCTTCTTAATGACGAATTTAGAAAATACTAAGCAATTAAAAACTGCAAAATCAAACCGAATTAAAATTTTATATTTTTATATAATTTAATTTCTCTCCATTTTTAAAATTTCACATAATATAATATAATTTATTATTTTCTTAAATATCGAACCAAATGCACCCTATTAAGATAGTGATTTATGATAAGATAGTTATTCTATAATTAACATCTGTTACATGGGTTGCAACAGTCTAATTAGAGTGTTTTTAAAAATAATCAATATTATTAGGTTTAAAAAGTCCGATGGAGTTTATTGTGAAAAATGTTTTCGAAGGAATTAGCCAGCTAGGCAGAACTGTAATGAATATGAATGCCTACGGTACCTACACAACACAACATACATTTAAGGGCGAGAGGAAGAAAAGGAAATCTTATTTTGAAAGAGATGCAAGTTTGATTTACAAATAAAATCATAATATAATTAGAATTAGAGTTTTTATAGCTCCTTAACAAATAGTCGGGTTGAATATAAAATAAAGGTTATTTTTCCCGAATTCAAAACGGTGCGTATCAATTGAAACGTCCAATTATAAATAAAGCAGTACCACCTGAATCAAAACTAAGAACTGAATGGGAGAAACAGAAATTTATATGATAACTACCAGAACAGCCTGTCTACCTCATCCTAAAACAGTGAACAAGCAAAACCAAAAACCTTCCCAAAAAGCCGACATGCACAAACCAAAAACAAATTATTTTAACATGAATAAAGCTTGATGGTAGAGTTAAATTCCTCACTTAAAGCACTTGGCATCCAGAAGAGGCTCTCCCTCGAAAGGCTCGGCGTCTTCAATCATCTGATTAACCCTTTCTTTCTAGGCCTCATCTGAGATGTCAACCTTCTTCCACTCATAGAGTTCCATGTCGTAGCATTCATCCATGACGAACTTCGGGGTCTCTTGCCCACGGAAGTGCCATAGTCCATTGAACTTGAATGGAGGGTCCTTACAGATCACCAACATCTTCCCATACGCATACTTGCGAGCCAAATCCATTCTCTGCGGGAATCCTCCTTTGTTCAGTCACAAATGAGATTGTATTCTCCTCATTGTAATTGTAGTCACAGAACCAGAGACAGTAGCCCTCAGGATCATAATGTCCCAGAATCCTGTAATAAATAAAGAAATATGAGTATCAGAAGACTCGGGCAGTGAAAAAGAAATTTGAAAACGAGATGATATACCTTTAAAGCAACTTCACAGAAATTGGTCTTTGTGACAGTACAATCTCTTCCAATCATCCAGTACCATCTACTGGGAGGCAGTAAATCAAGAGGGTATTTGGGTTTGGGCTTTGATGCCTCTTCCTCCTCAGCAGCCTCCGCCTTTGGCTTCTCTGCCTCCTTTTTGGCTTCTTTCTTCGGCTCATCCTTCTTTAGCTTAGTTTCTTTTCACTGGGCAGCAGGCTTCTTTGATGGACCAGGTGGGAAAGATGTTGCCTGCTTCACGTCACCAAGAATCTTGAAATTTGGCTGATTAACCATGGTCCAGAATTACCTCTCAACATGAGGGAACTCCGAGGTAAAACTCTTAATCATGATCTGGGTGAAACCCACATACAGATTGCATGTCATGATAATGTCAGCAAGGGTGACTGAATGTCCAACCAGGTAGGTATCCGTATTAGAGGCAAAATGTATGTTTAAAGCGTCAAGGGCTCTCTTCAATGCAGCAATAGCAGCTTCCTCAGCCTGTATGCAAAACACTCATGAGTGAATGAATTATAATTTACAAATATAACAATTTAAATTTTAGTGCAGATTAATATATAAGAAAGGAGGAGCATAGAACAACTGCTCTTCAAAACGAACAACAAAGGGAAAACCAGCCTGGCTGGTAAGTCAATGGGCATGCTTTTGTACCAAAATTGATTTTATTATTGCTTTTATCCATTTTCTTCAAGAAATTAACAAAAAACATGTAGTTGTCCTACAACTTCTATAATGCTCGTGAAAATGTATAGAATAAGAACTATAAAACAGTTTATGCTATTTTTCTATCATTATACTCTCCTCAAATGTAAATAGAGATTACCGGAGGAAGGTAAACGCCAAAGCCCTTTCTTGGATAAAGTAATTTTCCAATATTAGCATCGATTTCCATGAATGCAAAATCTATCCACTGCTCAATATGGCCCTGTGAAAAATCAAGCAAATGTTGAAACAAATATTAAGTACAACGATTTCACATGAAATTAACTGTTGCCAGAAAATGAACAAGATCATGAATTCATTATATGGAGAGAAAGAAACTCACATAATCAATCAATGAAGAATCAAACAGAGGGTTACTGCATGGAACAGCAAAGATACAGATAAGAAACAACCATTAAAAGAAGATATTGAGCGGTATTTAGTCAGCATGTCTTCTAACCATAATGAGCAATGGCATTGCTCTCAAAAACATGACCCTCGGGTGTTTGCAACACATGAACTAGAAAAGTAGAAAAAAAATTCAGCAAAAAGGGAGAAGGGATACAGATAGTACAAAAACTATTCTTTCTAAATATGTCCTTTGAATATGCATGGTTACCTTCCTAATTGGGTTCATTTTGAGGAACTCAGGAGTTTTGTTTGAGACGCCCATCTCAAGGTTCTCAACCAATTTTACAGCCACACCACTATATTCCACAGCAATGAGAGCCTTGAAGGCATTTTTATTTGTTTTTCCTGCATGCAATACCTGCATGTAAAACCAACAAACAGATTACTTAAAACTTTAATTCCAAAACCAAAACACCACAACCGAACCTTACAAAAGATATGCTACTAATCCTAAGCAACTAAAACTTAACGTTTTTCCTATAAATCATTTAAAAGATCTTTCAATTTCACTTTATTAATTATTTGAAAAATAACTATCAGCAACTCAATCTATGATACGCATTTAAACTCTAGCCATAGATCTTTCTCTTAGTACTGGTTAATTGATCAAAAACGAAAGCAGCAAAGCTAATCAGATCCATTGCCGATTGTTATTAATATTTGCAAGCCGATCAACTAACTGAACTAACAGAGTGATAATATAAATACAATACTATATTTAAGGTTTCTCACTCTGAATTCTACTTGAAATCAATCCTCAATAAACAACTTACAAGTGCCATGGCTAATGGCTTGATTGAAAGCAGGGACGCTCAGATTTAAGATCTGGAAACAAAAACCAAACACAAAATTAAATTGTACCAGTACAAGCATTCAAAGAAATGGGCGTCTTCTTTTGGTTAAAGGTGGGAAAAAAAAGAGAAGAATGGAGACGCGGGATAACCTGGAAGCCGCAGCCAGCAGGAGAGAGTTTAAGTGGAATCAAGAAATGTAAGGGGAAGTAGGGTTTTTGTAGGGTTGAATGAATTGCCAATATTTTTAGATATACTAATGCTTTTTGGCCCATTACTCGAGACTCTGAAATTCGGGTTTGTATACGCGTAATGGTAAATGCTAAAGTTGATGCTCGTTAATATTGTTGTTTAATAGGTTAATTTGACGTATCGTTAAAATTAATAAAATTTTAAATTTACATAGATTTGTTATGAATTTATTAGGTAAATTAATTTAAATTTAATATGGTTTTTAGATTAAAATAGATTAGATATTGAAAATTAATAAATCTAGTGTGATTAGAAAATAGTTAAATTCTAATCTTTAACGGATTTGGAATTAAAATACAAGTAAATTTCAAATTTGGTAACTAAACTTTCTTATCACTCATATTTTTCAATTTTTTTCAATTTGCTCACTCAACTTTATAGATTGGATTTTTATTTATGAAAAGGTGATTACAATTAGTATATGTTTTAAATATTCTTTATCATTTAACAATGAACGTTCAATCACCTGTGACCTCTAGGAACAACTACGATTCTTTTAACTACTGAGGTAAGTTGATTCGTGCTTATAGATTGGATTTTTTAGTTACTCTATTGTTATATCATTAACAACTTATTGACGTGGAATACTTTAATATTAAACATGCTCCATCAGATTTACACATAATAATTAGAGATACTTATTTATTTATTGTTAGGGTCTATTTAAACTTTAGGAACAAAATCCATAGCCCTAAAATTTTTCTACCTTGAAAAGGGAAAAGTAGGTGAAGAAGGAGATGTAATCAATGTCTTATTCAAACTCCATTTTGATATTCAGATGTGATATTTGGACGGTGTTGAAGACAACATAGTTGGATGATTATCCTGGAAGGTGGTTTTCGATTGTAGTAATTATAGTAGTAGATGACGCAAATCATACAATTTTTCAATGGTATAAGCCACCAATGACTCCTCATGCGAAGATGCTTCTGCTTGATCTTCTAAAAAGAATTAGAGCAGTTGAAAAGAAACGGAAAATGAGAGACTTATTTGAGTTTTGCTTTGATTTGTGTTGAATTAAGATTTTAATATAGTAATAATTTGTAAAATTAATTTTGGACTTAATCGAATTTGTCAAAAAATTATAAAAAAAATCATTTAAAGTCCAAATTAATTTGAAAAATATGTTTTAAATATTTTCCAGCTTAGTCGAACATTTTCAAAAACATACTCAATCATTTTCTGTTGAGTCAACCGAACTAATGGAATGGCCAAGAGAGGTGAATTGGCAATCAAAATAATAATGGAAGCTTTTTGAAAGAAAATGAAAATTTTGACACAAGCAATTTTAGAGTAGTTCAACATTTTCAATGAAGTCTACATCCACAACCTTATCTTTCACACTAAGGATTTCAACAAATTCACTAATTTGTTCAAACATTTTAGGACAAGGTGTAACCTTACAACACACTTAGACTTATACCCTAAAGTCTCAAGTAGACAATTAGGGATGACAATTTCACCTGCAACCGACGGGTTTTGACCAGATCGAGTCAAATTTTTTAAAAGAATTTTGGGTTTCGGTCGGGTCGAATCTTTTAAGGAGTGAAGTCGGGTCGGGTGGAGGGTAAAAAATCTCCAACCCGAATAGAGGATAATAATGTAATTTCCTTAAAATTATTATTATTATTTTTAATTAAATCCTTAATTTATATCGTGTCGGGTCGAATTTATACACTAAAAATTTGGGTCGGTCAGAGTCGAGTGGAGGATATATATCTTTCGGGTCGGGTCAGGTTGAATGTAGGATATAAAATTTTCAAGTTAGGTTGGGTTTGGGTGGATGGTGCATATTTTCGGGTTAGGTTGACCAAAAACCTGATCCTAACCCAACCCATTGGTATCCCTATGTACAGCTCTTCCTAAGAAGAAATTAAAATAACAAACTTCGAAAAATCCCTTACAAGGAATGTGTTTGCACAATTAAGAACAAATAGAACACTTGAAATAATGAAACAAAGAAGTACAAAAGTGTTCTTAAAAGCAAAAAGAATGTTTGAGAATATTTACTTGAATTTTTTATTCTTTGTGATTGTTTTGTCTTTCTCTTTGATCTCTTATCTTCACATATGACTTGGAATCTTGTTTTTATACCCTTCATTTAATTCTAGCCGTTTGAGTTGTTGTAGAGTTAGTAGAATCGTTGGGATGAAATTTCCTGCAATAAATGTTGCCTAGACGCCTTGAGTACCGTACTCATACTTGGAGTATTGGTACTACTTGAATTAAATACAAAAAATCTAACCGCTGGGAGAGGGGATTATCGTACTCCAACATATGTATCCATATCGATATCAAAATAGGCTACTTGAATTTGTATTTGCCAAACTCATAAAAGGGAGTATTGATACTCCCATTAGGAGTAACAGTATTACTGTGTATTTTTTGTCATTAGTATCGATACTACATGAACAATATCGGTATTATTCTTGAAGAATCGATACTACTAGATTAAAAAATAATTTTTGACTCGATTAAATTTTAAATCCCATGTAAAATTATTTTAAATATATTTCTAGCTCAATAAAGTAAAGAGTAAAATGGAGTTTTTAACCTTAGAAAGAATTTTATATTCGAATGTCTGAATCGAATATAATCTTAATTTTTTCTAAAAATATTAATTAATATTTTGGTATATCAAAATATCAAAGTATGTTCAATAATCTTTCTTTTTTGGATATAAAAAAAACACTTAAAAACTAATATTCTTTTGAGAAAAAAATTACTCCCCTTACCTTAGTCTCCCTTTTTTGTTAAATCAAAAAGTAAAAAACTTAACAAGATTGATAAAGAGATATAAGCAAAAGATCAATAGCCAAATGAGTTAGTCAACATAGATAAATATTATCAAAGAAAATGACAAGTATGGTCATAATAAAGAACAAAAAATGTCAAAAATATATAAAATGCACATAATAGAAATATCCCAAGAGAAGCATCCAAATTCGATAAACATTCAAAAACATAAAATTAAATCCATAAATATCAAAGTATGTGAAAACAAATATCTAAAAACATAAAATCATCCAAAGATCCAAATCCCAAAAAAAAATCAAAGTACAAAAATCAAGAGGAGCATAAGTCTAGCAATGTCATCAACAACAAATGAGCAATCAATCATTTGAGGGCGGTGCAGGTAAAGTGAATAAGAGGATGAGGTACGAAAGAACGAGAAATCACGAGCAAGATTCCCAACTGTACTCAAAATCGTGTCAATCTGATCTATTAAAGCATCGAATCGAGTGTGATAGTCGTGCCTCGAATCCATATACACTGATTGCAATGAGCACTGATGGGAGGACATCTCCGAGACATGAGACTATATCGCTAATTGTCGAGAAGCAATATTAGAAACTTGAGTCCCCAAGGTAGAGAAGTGAGACTCAATGGTATCAAACTACAAGTCCATTGTCTCCATAAAAGCCTGGAAGTAAAGAGGCATCGTAATCAAATCCTCACCACTGACTTGAAAAGGATTATCAGGGACAAGATTCACTGGATCATCGATATCATGCATCACATCTTCATCTTGAGGCTGAGCTGCTCTAAAGGAAGAACCAATAGCTTACTTCCATTTTCTTTGCCACTTGTTTTCGACTTATTCTTGTCATGTCCCAAAATCGAGTCTGGTAGCTTCAGGCCAGTAGTCCAGTTGATTTTGGATTTTTGGTAAAAATATTAACTTTGATATTTTTGGTTTATAAATAATTATTAAAAAAATTTAAATGATTTTGAATTATTAATTTTTTATTTTGGGGATTTATGATTGATTTTACAAAGTGACTAAATTGAATGTTTTTGAAAGTTATGGTTTTAGTGACGATTGTAAAGATCACAAAACTAAAATCTATGAAACTTATTTTACCAAGGCTTATGCTTAGTGTTTTCCCTCCAAGTTTAACCATATCTTAATTTCTCTTTTACCCAAATTTCCATCTAGATTCATTCCTTTATTTTTGTTAATTCTCATTAGTCGTTTCTTCTTTTTTTCTCTCATAAAAACTATCGTATCTTTTCTCCCAAATTCTCCCAAATCCTTTCTAATGGCTGAAACTATTCTTCATCATTTTATATTATTTTTTTGTTGATTTTCTCATTTCTTCTTGATTTTCTTCTTTTCAATCAAGATTGTTATTCTCTTTTCTTCCTCTTGCCATTTTCTCCCTTGATAACTTGGTGTTTCCATTGTTGATCATCTTCTCTTCTCTTAATTCTTTTCCAGCAAGGTGATTCTCTTTTCCTTGGTTCTTTTTTTTTGGCTTCAATGATTAAGATCTATTTTTCTGAGGTATTTAATGATCTATTTTTCTAGATTGTTTTTCAAGGTTTTCTTGTGTTAATTAATATGTTTTTATGGGATTATTATCATATTAAATCAGTTTTTCAATCTCATTTGATTTGGATATCGGTTTCATTAAAAAAAAGTTTGATTTCAGTGTTTTTTTAGAAATATGGGAATTAGGATTTTTTAAGGTTAATTCCGAAGTGTTAAGTTGATATTAGTTAATTTTTGTCGTTCTTTATCACCTCTTGTTGATGAAGATTAATGTCGATCAAATCGAAAGCTCAAAGAGGTGATTCCGTAAGGTTTTCAGTAATTTCAATCTTTTCACTTTGTTTTGGATGTTTTCTTGATGTTTCATTTTTCTTTCCAAGGTGTTTAATGTGTTTATTGTTGAGGGAAAATGGTTTATTATATTTTGGTGTGTTTGCTAAGTGTTCGGAGCCTATTTTGGTTACTGGACAACAAAGGTGGGTGGTTTTCATTCTTTGTGAATGAACATGTTTAAGGTAAAAAGGTGTTGTTGGAGTGATTCTTTAGTTATAACTATGGTTTAGATGGTTCCTTATTTATGCACTTAATTGATATGAAACGTGATATGAAATGAGATATTCAATGTGTTCGAAAATGCAAATATCCTATGTGAATTGTGATGTGTTGCAAATGATGCATAGAGATTTCAAAAGCGTATTTG